ACACCATCAGAGCACCTGGGTGGCTCAGTCAGTTAAGCATCCAACTCTTGATCTCACCTCAGGTCTTGATCACAGGGTCACGAGTTCAAGCCCCATGTTGGGCTCCATGCTGGGCATGCAGCCCACATAAATTTTAAAAATTTAAAAAATAAAGAGTATACACCATCACCAAGCAGGATATAAATCAGGAATGCAATGGCAGTTCAATATATGGAAATCAATGTAATGCATACCACACTAACAGAATTAAAAAACAACAACAACAAAAAACTATATGATCACCTCAATACAGGCCCAAAAAAGCATCTGACAAATTTCTTACGATTCTCATGATAAAAAATTCCCAAAAACTAGGATAAAGGGGGAATTTCCTCAACACAGTAAGTAAGGGGAATTTATAAAAAAACAACAAAAAACCCATAGTTAATATCATACTTAACTAGTGAAAGAATGAAAGCTTTCCCCCGAAGATCAAGAACAGAACAAAATGCATGCTTTCACCACTGCTATTCAACATTGTATTGGATATTCTAGCAAGAGCAATTAGTCAAGAAAAAAAATAAGATGCATCCAATTTCTGCTTGTAAATGGTATGATTCTATATACACAAAATCCCACAGAATCTACACACACACACATACACACACAAAAAAACCTACTAGAGCTAATAGATGAATTCAGTAAAGTTGCAGGGTACAAGATAACACAATTAGTTGTGTTTCTACATGGCAGCAATGAACAATCTGGAAATTAAGAAAACAATTTTATTTCCTATAGCATTCAAAAGAATAAAATACTGGGGAATAAATTTAACCAAGAAAGTGAAATACTTACACATCGAAAACTATAAAGCATTGCTGAAAGAAATTAAAGCTGCCCTAAATAAATGAAAATACATCCCATGTTCAAAAACTAGAAAACTGAATATGGTTAAGATAACAATAATCCAGAAAGAGAACTAAATTCCTCAAATTTATATGGAGCTACAGGGTACTCTGAGTAGCCAAAACAATATTCAGAAAGTAAAATGCAGCTGAAAAATTCACATTTCCCAATTTCAAAATGTACCACAAACCTACCCTAACAAAAAAAGTGCGGTATTGACCTAAGGACAGAAATAGAGACAAACAGAACAGAATTGAGAGCTAGAAATAAACTCAATCATCCATAACCCATTGATTTTTGACAAGACCATTCAATAGGGAACGAACAATTTCCAACAAATGGTAAATAAATAACACACAAATAATGAAGTTGGACCCGTACCTCACTTCTTATACAACTCAAATAAATGGCCTAAATGTAAGAGCTTAACTGTAAAATTACAAGGAAAAAAAAACCAGAGGTAATCTTCATAACGTCAAATTTGGCAACTGATTCACAGATTTCACACCAAAACATGAGCAGTAAAAATGAAAGACAAATTGGACTTCACAAAAATTATAATCTTTTTTGTTCATTAAAGAACACTATCAAGAATGCCAACGGAAAACCTAAAGAATGGAGAAAAATTCTGCAAATCATATATCTGATAAAGGATTAATAATGAAAATATATAAAGAACCCTTATAATTCAACACATAGACAAACAAACCCAAATAAAAAGTGGACAAGGGACCTCACAGTTTCTCCAAAGAAGATATAAAAATAGCCAATAAGCACATAAAAATATTTTCAATATCTCTAGTCACTGAAGAAATACATGATGAAAAAGCATTTCACATCCACTTAAGATAGCTTTAATCAAAGAATAAATTAATAAAAATGACAAGTGTTGGCAAGGATGTAGAGAAATATGACCCCTTGTATGTTACTGGTGGGAATGCAAAATGGTTCAACTGCTATGGAAAACAATTTGGCTATTCCTCAAAAAATTAAACAAACAATAGTCACATGGCTTAGAAATTCTGCTTCTAAATATATACCTAAAAGACATGAAAACAGAAACTTGTACATGAATGTTTATAGTAGCATTATTCACAACAGTCAAAAGATAAAAAGAGTCCACATGCCAATCAGCACATAAATGGATAAACGAATTGGGGTATGTTGGCATTGTGTGTATGTATATTCAGCCATAAAAAGGAATAAAGAACTGACACATTCTACAGCTTGGATGAACCTCAAAAACATTACACTAAATGAAAGAAACCAGACACAAAAGGCCACATATTATATGGTCTACTTAAATAACTGCTTTTAAGTTTCAGTATGGTTTTCTTTGATACTTTAAAACACCATGCATATTTCAAGTAGTGATATTGTATTTACATGGATTTAATCTACAGTCACCACGGGGTTTCATATAGGAGGCTTTTCTCAGTACTTAAGTTTCTTCTATTTTAATCTCTTCTCTAATGCTTCGTTTTTGTCTTTTCTTATTAAGAAAAGGAAAATCCAAACCTAGCATTAAACTACAGTTATTTAAAGTGAGAAAATAAAGTCAAGTACATAAGGAAAATGCAAACAGGATGAGGACCTCTCCAAAATTCTAAGATGCGATCCTTTAAAGTATACAGTTTCTGTAATGAAATGTAAATGTTTACAGACTTTTCACCAAGGGACAGAACTTAGGCTTGATCAAGACCACGTAAGGTAAGAGATGTTAAGAATCCTAATGCTTACCTTTTCATTCTATTTGGGGGAAAAATGTATTCCTAAAGTTTTTAATCTTTAATATATAAATATTTGTACCATATAAAATTTTATAATAAGGTATAATTGTATATATAAATATGGCTATTACTGGACATGTAATTTTTAAGAGAAAATAAATTTATTTCAAAACACTACTTACTCAACTAGTTATGAATTATTTTAGAAATGCTCCTCTCAAACAAATCTTCTGAATTTTACAACTTTTTTTTTAAGATTTTATTTATTTATTTGACAGTGAGAGACACACAATGAGAGAGGGAACACAAGCAGGGGGAGTGGCAGGCAGAGGGAAGAGCAGGTTTCCCGCTTGAGCAGAGAGACCAATGTTGGGCTCAGTCCCAGGACCCTGGGATCATGACCTGAGCTGAAGGCAGATGCTTAACAACTGAACCACCCAGGCGCCCCTATTTTACAACTTTAAAACCAAGTAAAAAATTACAATAATATATCACCTCACACCTGTCAGAATGGCTAAAATCAACAACACAAGCAACAACATGTGTTGGCAAGGATGTGGAGAAAGGGGAACCCTCTTGCACTGTTGGTGGGAATGCAGACTAGTGCAGCCACTCTGGAAAACAGTTTGAAGGTTCCCCCAGAAAATTAAAAACAGAACTAGCCTATGATCCAGCAATACACTAGGTATTTACCCAAAGGATACAAACATACTAATTCAAAGGGATACATGCACCCTGATGTTTATAACAGCACTATCTACGATAGCCAAATTATGGAAACAGTCCTGTGTCCATCAATCGATGAATGGATAAAGAAGATATGGTGTTTACACACACACACACACACACACACACACACACTGGAATATTACTCAGCCATAATAAAGAATGAAATCTTGCCATTTGCAATGAAATGGATGAAGCTAGTAAGTGAAATAAGTCAGTTAGAGAAAGACAAATACCATGTGATTTCATTCTTATGTGGAATTTAAGAAACAAAATGAACAAGCAAAAGGGGAAAAAAGAGAGAGAAAGAAAGGCAAACCAAGAAACGGACTTCTAACTATAGAGAACTAATGGTTACCAAAAGGGAGGTGGCTGGAGGAATTGGTTAAATTGGTAATGGGAATTAAAGAATACACTTGTTGTGATGAGCAACAGGTGATACATAGAAATATTGAATCACTTCATCATAAACCTGAAACTATAGTACACTGTATGTTAACTAAAAGTTAAATTAAAATTTTTTTAAAAAAAGAATGTTTTGGGGCACTATAAACCAAATACAGCATACATTTCTCAAAATTGTTATAGAAGATAAACTGTATTATTGCTAACAACATGACTATGATCTGAACATAAAAAAATTCAATATCCTCATGCTGAAAAAAATGAATTATTTCTCCAAGATTAAGTATCTCTTTTCTAAATATCATTATTAGGTATCCTAAAAGTTAATAAAATCAAAGTGAAACACACAAAAAAAACTTTGAATTCCTTTATTCATTTATAGGCAGTAATATGAAATAAACACAAAACTCACATTTCATTTTGTATTTATATAAAAAATTAGCAAAGCATTCTGTTTATGTCTTGCTTTGATCAAGCAGGCTTGTCTGTGAAAAAAAGAAATTGCTGTGTTGTCAATGCTAGCTAAGCCCACCCTTTAAATTTTAGAGTCCAGGAAAATATATTTTTCCGAAAAGTCTATTCAACCAGAAAAGCATAAATGGGAACATGGAATGTCTTGGTCTTTATAGGAAAAAGCCCCATTGTTGTCAAAATTGTTCTTATTCAAGCACTTCTGCTGCTTTCCCTTCTTTCTCTACTATGTCTCTCTACCTTGACTATATAAAAATAGTACAGCATCCTCTTAATATATGCATTATATTTAAAAGAAACATGTTGGAGCACCCGGGTGGCTCAGTGGGTTAAGCCTTTGCCTTCAGCTTAGGTCATGATCCCAGAGTCCTGGAATCAAGCCCCAGCAACATGCTCTCTGATCAGTGGGGAGTCTGCTTTTCTCTTGGCCTCTGCCCTTCTCCCCTCCCCCTAAATAAAATCTTTAAATAAAATAAAGATAAACATACTTGCTACATTCATTTGTTCATGAGTTGAAAATGGAAATATAAGGTTTTTTTTTTTTAAGATTTTATTTATTTGAGAGAAAGAGAGAGTGCAGGCATAAGGAGGGGGAGTGGCAAAGAGAGAAGGAGGAGCAGGCTCTACACTGAGCAGGGAGCCCAGTACCTGGGGATCATGACCCGAGCTGAAGGCAGATGCTTAACCCACTGAGCCACCTAGGCACCCCTATAAGGTTTTTTTTAATGTCTTTCTGGCTTTGTCATATAAATAATTGCTCTCAGGCACCCTTAAGTTACATACCGTGATTTTCATGATACTCTTCTTTTTGTATTAAGTGAGTATTCATCTTAGGTATCTCAAAGCACAACAACTTTTCTCCTGATTTTGATCCCTTTTTTATAAGGATTCAAGATCCCTAAATGCATGACAGAGACAGTCACTTCCTCGCCAGAAGAAGAAGGATATGCAGTATGCATGTACACAGGTCACTTTCTAAGTGTTTGCTTTAGTTAGCTTCCTCTTTACTGTGAATACACATAGCTTCATTAAATGGTGCTAATTTTTAGTAAGGCAGCTTACATACAGAAAAAATTACATGAGAAGAAACCCAATGACTCTGAAATATTCTTTCCAAATTAGTGTACTTCTAAAATGTAGTTCTTTCCTAAATTTTTGTAATATATTCAGTACTTTTTTTGGAAGATACAATGTTTCAATGATTCATAGTAGTCATTACCACAGACTGATAGATATCAGGTAACTCAAAACCAAGTTTTTTGGTTGAGTTTCTATTAATCCAATGTGTAGGACATATATGAAAAATGCTGAAGCAGGAAGCAACATGGATAGCAATGGAGTTATGACGCTATCTGTTTAGGTTGCTGTGTGAAACCCCATTCTCATCACCAGAGCTGTAATTAAAACTCTGGCTGCCTGAAACCAAATATAAGGTTGTGTCCTCTTCACAGAGCTGTCAATCTTTCAACTAGCTGGTTTACAGGTTCTGAGAAAAGACATACTCCTGTTTTAAACATGTGACTGAAAGATACTGCTTTGGTAAATTTAATTAGATGGAAAATGGAAATTTTTTTCTTCATTCCACATCACTGTGGAACAGTGACAACTACAAGACTTTGGATTGTTATCTTGTTGAATCATTTTTACTTATTATTTGGTGTGTGTTTTATTGTCCCCACATACGAATTCATATTCAAATGTAAATACTAAAATACATTTAATGTAATACATATTTATAAATCTAAGTTGATAAAACCTTGATACAAATGACATAATGATTATATGAAGAAAATGAAAACAAATGTCAAGCCTGAAATACCAAAAAAAAAGTTAAGATTCTTATTAGCTCTCTCATATTCTTCATGTTTTCACTAAACATGTCAGCAAATGTATACACTGCATGATTTCGTATAATTTGAATCAAGGGTCAGTTAGAAAACATTGCACTTTTATATTTGCTGATCAATGCACAGGTTTAAATACCATATGCCATTTTTCCACTGGATTTTCTAAGCATTCTTTTCAAAAAGAATTGAAGAAGTATTATGATTTAAAGTTTCTTTACGAATAAGCCTTACAACAACAACAAAAAAAACCCATAAGGATAATATCTTTTAAGATACCCTGAAAGTTAACTTTCCTTAGAGCCACTTAAAGTAGTCTAAAGAAAGATTTAAGTCTTTCTTGCATTATTTTTCACTCTGGTTAAAACATTATACATAATAGGAGTTAAAAGCTAACAAAAACAAGTAGGAATGAAATTACTATTATTTTTATCACAAGAAACTCAAAAATGGTAGAAACAACTTTTCCAATACTTTTGCAAAATTCCTACGTCTTGTCAAAGTTCTAAGTAAATATGTCATCTCCAAAGGAGAATTTCACTGAAAGCTACAAACCTCTTTAAGCGATCTGAATGACTTGTACATTTCTAAGCTGTTTACTGCATATTAATATTGCCTCTATATTTTAATTTGCAAAAATGTACAGCAAAATATCTAGGTGAATGTATGAAATAGAAAAGTTCCTCTGTGGCATTCCATTATCTGATACAGTTTTAATGAAACACCTGCACTGCAAATAAAGGAATATAAAAGAAAGCAACAGGGAGGACACAAGTTAGAGCACAAGTGAAACAAAGATATGTTTCAGGAGTGAATGAATGTCAGGAATGAATGTCATTGGATAAAGCCTCTTCAATGACTTAAAAAATACCCTGAATCAAGAATCTGCACTTGAGCACAAATTATACTTAGGTAATTTTTTTCTATTTTACTAAAAAGAATTTATATTCACCATAATGTTGCATAAAAGCTTATGACTTAACTTATTGCCCTTTTGAAAAAAGCACTAAGATTAGTTGACCTGGATTCTCAACAAAGATTTTTCTTTAATTTAGAGGGAGATGAAGAAAGAGGAAAACAAGTAAGAGAGAGAAGAGAAAAAGGAAGAGAATGTACTAAAAAGCACCTATAATAAAGATCAATAATCTTTTCAGGCAAGAAAAAGGGGGTACGGTTTGGTAGGAAATGCCATAATGTTAGTCATAAGATATGTTGTAAAAACTTGTTTCATATTTGTGAATTGTGCTTGTTATTCCTTCAGCCAGTTAGTTACAAAAAAGGGATGACAGACATGAGTGACAGAAAATAAATGCTGTCCATCTACTTCTGGGAACATGACAAAGTGAATTTCTCCTGCTCCAAACACACACACACACACACACACACACACACACACACACACACCCAATGGTGGAAAAAATAGAACCAATAAATTAATACATATCTCAGAAATGTCCAGGCTCCAAAAACAGAGAGAACTCAAAGCCAGAGTTAACAAGAGTCAAAGCTGAGAGCACGACAACTTAGAGAAGTACAGAGTAGAAACAGTGTAAGAGCCAGTAGCTGAGGTTTTAAGGTCCATATGTAGTGACAGAATACATGGTATAGGGCCCACCCAAGTAGGGGTTAGAATGAAATAACTGGGATACCCAAGTAAAAAGTTCAGATAATCAAAAGACTGCTTACTCAATAAAAAAGGGTATTAAAAACAAAAACAAAATCTCTGCTCACAAGCCCAGAAGAGAAGCAAGGAAGCTGGCTCTCTGCCAAAAGCTCTATGTAGGAAAAAAGTTTCCCATGAAAGAGCAAAACCTGAAGATGGGTTTGAGGTCTGGATTTACATTACACACATGGTACGGTAATCCCATGCCAGATAAAAAACAGATCCTAGGAAGGAATTTTTACATACTATTATGGTATGATATCCAGGAAATATTACATGAAAAAAGCTGGGTGCTGAACAGTGTGAATAGTACGCATGTATTTATCTAACAAAGGAAACAGAAACATAGACACATACATTTAGTTCCGTTTAAAAAAAAAAGATATCAATCAAAAGCTAACTGAATTATTCATCCGTGGGAAAGAAAAAAAGAGGGCAGAAGGAAGGATAGAAGCCACATTTTCCAAATTTATCTTATTTTCCAGATTTTTAATATGAAATTGTAAATATCTGATTAATTATAAAACAAAATTGAACCAAGAATTTTAAAAGTGCTCCCCCAAATTTGAAAGTAAAATCAAACAAACTAATCCATGTATCAAGTCAATGGTTTTAATAAACACATAGGGGGCACCTGGGTGGCTCAGTGGCCTCTGTCTTCAGCTCAGGTTATGATCTCAGGGTCCTGGGATGGAGCCCCACATCAGGATCTCTGCTTGGCAGGGAGCCTGCTTCCCCCTCTCTCTCTGTCTGCCTCTCTGCCTACTTGTGCTCTGTCAAATAAATAAAAAAAATTTTTTTTTAAATAAACACATAAAAACAATTTTTTTTAAGATTTTATTTATTTACCTGACAGACAGAAACCACAAGCAGGCAGAGAGGCAGGCAGAGAGAGAGGGAGAAGCAGGCTCCCCGCCAAGCAGAAGGCCCGATGCGGGGCTCGATCCCAAGACACCAGGATCATGACCTGAGCCGAAGGCAGCGGCTCTAACCCACTGAGCCACCCAGGCGCCCCGAAAACAATTATTTTGAGTGACTTAAAAACAGAGTAATCTGATTACGAATCATCAGTGGGATATACAACAAAAACAAAAAGAACTACAATGAAGTCGTAAACTATTTCAGTAACCATATTATTGGTAATGGCGTTGGTGTTGGTATACTGATAATAATATACCAAGAGCAATTAATTATATTAAGGCCACCAGGAACCAACATTTTCAACATAAAAGAAAAAACTACAAGTACAAAATGAAGAAAAGTTAAAAACCCTTGTATTCCCAAATTTGAAATGGAAATATGAGGCTATACCTACGAAGCAATTTTCTTTAAAAAAAGGTGTATTTCCTAGCTGTTCATATTTCCACTAAAAAGGCCTAGAAACGGTGCAAGTCCAGACCACTCAGCACCTCATCATCTAAACTGTGGTCTCTAAAAATAATTTTTGCACTAAAAGGAACTAGAGTAGAAACTGATTCCAGTTCTAAGGTAGAAAACAGACAATATGAATCTGAAATATCTTGCTGTACCAGAAAACAAAAAAGTTATCAAAAGCTGATAGTGTTGTATCAAAAGGGCTCAGTAGGTAACTTACAGAGATGGGAAAAGATGGGACAATCTTGGGAAAAAGATAATACCAGTGGGTTAAAATAGTAAATGTATTAAAAATCCATATGTTCATGGCAATAATAAAAAATGAATGTTCATAATTGCTTTTGCAGGATGCCAGAGAACCAACTTAGTATTCTTTTTTTTTTTAAGATTTTATTTATTTATTTGACAGAGAGAGTGAGAGAGCGCACAAGCAGGGGGGAATGGCAGGCAGAGGCAAAGGGAGAAGCAAGCTCCCTAAAGAGCAGGCGAAGCCTGATATGGGACTGGATCCCAGGACTCTGGGACCATGACCTGAGCCAAAAGCAGTGGCCCAACCAACTGAGCCACCCAGGTGCCCCCAACTTCATATTCTGAAAACTAGTAAATAAAAGGAAAAAAAAAATCATGCATTTTTTCCGGTCTTTTCTTCATTAACTGTACCTCAGAAAAACTAAACAGTTGATGAGGGCAATTATATATAAAAAAGAAAGTTAAATTTTACAACTCTGAATGGCAGGATGAATCTGGGCAGTGAACACCAACAAATGCTAAAATCATTAGGCAAAGAGGAACTAAAATTAGCAGAGAGGAACTTAATGTACAGAGCAGGCTGACAATACCTGAAACTACTGATCACAAAAAGAGCAACCACATGTTATATGCCTCCTGGTGTGATACAAAAGAACGTATACAATACTACCTATGAAATATTCTTGCCAAAAAAAAAATCAAACCTGCGTAAGCCTCTAGATCTAAGTACACCTGGTTTACAGGGAAATGACACAGAATAACACAT